AGTTTCTAACCAGACAGAAACCTGGGAAACTGATGAGAAAGAATGTAAATAATTATTTATCTCTCTTGTTCACATTGCTTATCGATAAGTTCTGCCCCTGTGTGTCATTCACTGCACACCAATGGTGTGCGATGTTTTTACTCTGGGATCACTGGAATTGGTCTGGATGAAGCTCTCTATAAAAAGAGTGATATATTTGAAATAAATCAGAGTTCTACTCGCAGCCTTCTGAAGTGGAGCCATTTCACACCGTCCTGCCCCAATCACCTGCCCACCCTGTGGCTGTTTGAGCAGGGATCCTTGGGAGCCCCTTCCAGCCTGGGAGATGCCAGGGATTGCAGGGATAACGCAGGGAGACAAAGCTGAGCCACCCACGGGTTTGGTGGCCTGGAGGTGGAGTCCCCAGGAGCCCTGCAGGGCTTTAAAGCTGTGGGGATGTGGCACCTGGGGACCTGGTGGCCTGGGCAGTGCTGGGGTGGCCGGACTCGATGTTCCCAGAGGGGATTTCTGAAGCTCCTCTGTCGCTGTTGAGGCAGGATGGGAATGAGAAGACTGACTAGAAGGTTTCTGAGAGTAAAATTCTGGTTTATTCAAAATACACTGCTCTTTTATACAGAGCTTTGTGAGGAACACCTCCATTAAACAAGGCACAGCATTGGTGTAGAGTGCTTGACACACAGTGATAGAACTTAACTATGAACAGTGTGAACAATAAGAGACATAAAGAATTATTTATATTCTTCTCCAGCTCTTTCCCAGGCCTCTGCCTGGCCAGAAACTCCCGTTTCTCTCTCTGACTGAACCTGAGTCCCACACTCCTCCTCTCAAGGAGCCCCTCTGCTGCTGCCTGAGGAGCGTTCCGAAGCTGCAATAAAAGATTCCTCTCGATGCTGGGATCCCTGAGCACAGGGAGAGCCACGGCATCCAAAAATCAGAAATAACATCAGAGTGCAAGCACAGCACTGTCATGGACAAGCTGTAACAACTGAATCCATTATTGAAAGCTACATTTCCCCTATTTCCAGCAACTTCTTCTGCCTTTGGGATGGATTGTGCAGCTCTGTCCCCTCCAGCAATAAAACCTTAATAGACTGAAACTTTTCAATTGTGTGGCGGGCAATGGGATGCAGTTTCATTTTATAAGGGGCCATCAATAACACATAAAAAATGTTGTAAAGCAGAATGTGATTATTTTAATTCCTCAGAGCAGGTCTGGAGAAGCAGGGGGTGAAGTGCGACACTCAGCAGGGACCAAATGCAATTATTTATTCCTGTTAAATTCCACTGGAGCTGGGCAGACCCTGCTGTTCCAAAAACAAACCTCCTTCCACTCTTGCTGCCCAGAGAATTGTGGATTCCTGACCCCCAGCAGTGCCCAAGGCCAGGCAGGATGGGGCTGGGAGCAGCCTGGGATGGTGGAAAGTGTCCCTGAATGTGGCAGGGGGTGCAATGGGATGAGCTTTGAGATCCATCCACACAAACCATGCAATTCCATCTGAATTAAACCCTAATAAAGGATAAAAAGATTATAATATAATATAATATAATATAATATAATATAATATAATATAATATAATATAATTAATATATTTGCCATAATATAATTAATATATTTGCCATAATATAATATTTGCCATAATATAATTGTCAATATGATGATATTAATACTATTATTATATATAATTTTACATATATCTTAATTTATATTATTGATATAATAATACAAACAATATTATTACTCCTATTAATAGTAACATTAATAATAATAATTAATCATAACAATATTATTATTATCCATCTTAATTAAATCCTAATAGGATATGTCCTAAAATAGCTAGGAATACCTGACAGGAATCCCTGCCAGGGCACATCTGGGGCACACAGGGCTGGGTTTTCCCTGGGGAAAGGTGCCATGGGGCATTCCTGGCAGTGTGTGAAGCCGAGTTTTCATGTTTATTTTTTCTTATCTACAATATTTTCTCTCTGACCTGCCGAGCTCCAGCTAGCACAGAAGCCGTGGCCGTCTCCTTCCAGCCACGCTGTCTCCCACATTATATACCCAACATTTCATGTACCATGTTTACAGTTCCCACACCAATACCTAAAATCTACATTGGACAGTGTGTCCCTGTCCTAGACCAACAGAAAAGTGTCACCATCACACCGAGACTGGAGGGCAAGGAGAAGGAAGAAAAGGCCAGGGCACGCCCAGATTCCTCCATCCTGTACCCCTGAATTTCATCCTAAAAACCCCAAAATAAATATAAAAATATCCCGGGCCCCGTGGCCCTGGCACTGCCCACCTCGGGGCTGGCAGGAGGCAGCAGCCAGGCCTGAGCATCTGCTCCCCTCCCTGCTGACATCTCCCTGCTGCAAACCCTGCAGCAGCACCCACGCCTGCGAGCAGCAGGCATCCCGCGGGAGGATGGCACCCGCTCGGCAGGGCTCGGGTGCCAGCTCCGTCCTCCACACCGTGTCACACCCGGCTGTGTCACTGGGGATGGCAGATTGTCACTTGGAGAGGCTCCCCA